GAATCCCTTCTGTTGTATGTTTTTCGTTCTTTTTGTATCTTGTCGAAGTTCTTTGACGTTGAGAGGAAGTAATACAAAGTAGGAAAGTGGTAAGAAAGAGGTAATTGGGGGCCATAGAGACGACTTTCTGTGGTTGTATATCGATAACCCTGGGATGGGATGATGCGGAATTCAACGAACCACAAATTGGGATCAGCTTCCTATGCTTTGAGGCTTTGAATCACTTATTTCCCTTTCTAGAAACTTTCTTCGGCCTTATTGTTCTAATCGTATTGACATACGCCTACAAAGTGCATAGTACAAACAATCGGCGTGCCCCACCTAATTCTAGCATACCAGACTAGTGCCTAATTCATCTAGAGTGTTGATACATCCCACCTGCGTTTGGTATGTATCTGCAAGGTGGGGTAACCGACTTACCGACTTATCAATTGACCCTACTGATGCACATCCTTCCAGCTTCAACCCACGAGTCACCAATCCCGATTAAATTGTGTCGGCCCGGATCCCGTACTACCACAGGCCCCATGGAACCCAAGGTGATCTTAGAGGTCCCTCTGAATATCTCGCAACAAAATCTTGTCGATCTTTCTAACATTGGTTCGCCCGAGAAATTTCGCCTCGTCGAATGCGCAGCTTTACTTAGCAACCAAGACCCCATCCTCCGAATTGTACAGTTTGACAACTTCAAATTTGGCAACCGACCGCCAGCCGCATACGCGGCAATATCGTATATCTGGCAAGGAAATCGCACCGATTCGCTCTCAGGCACAATTGTTGTCGAGGGCGCGCTTGACGGTGATCCGATCAGTATCAACATCATACAACAGGCATGCATTGCGTGCAAGCGTCGTCGATTAGATTATATCTGGCTTGACAGAGTTTGTATAATGCAAACTGATAGAGACGACAAGGCATGGCAGATCCAGAGGATGTTCGATATTTACAAGACGGGACTTCCGCTGGTTTCGCCCGGTGGCCTCATGAAGCTGGTGAGTTTGGATGAAGAGACAGACTGGATCCTGCGCGCTTGGACGTTGCAAGAGGTGATTGTCTCCGAAGCGTATGTGCTTGTTTCGGCAGAGGGCCTTCATATTCCTCCCGAGAGACCCTTGATTGATTTGATGGTATCTGACGACCCTCGACGCTGCATGTGTCGTGTGGAGTCTATCGTACTTGATATGTCTGTCTTTTGCAGACTCGTGGACCTCCTACAAGTCATCCGCCGAGGTTCAGGGAAGGCTATTTGCCAAATGAACGCTACTGCACAACCAACAGTGATGCAAATGAGTATTTTTGGAAACTACCAGACGCGGAAGAGAGAGATCACTGCCCTTGCAGACGCTACACAAACAATTTGGAACGGGTCAAATTGGTCACGCCACTCCCTCTGGCAATCTTCCTTCTTCAGAACTTCCAAGCGACCGGTTGACATGGTATTCAGCATTATGGGCCTCTTTGGGGTCTCCCTCAATCCTAAAAATTTCGCGTCAACGGACCGCATCCGTGCAACTATAGCTCTTGCACAGGAGTACTTGAAGAGGAGCAACAAAGCCGACTGGTTGATCGCCGGTTGGAAGGAGCCCCCAGATAGGCGTCTTTCGTCTTTCCCAGAGCTCCCGGAAACATCCGTATCCACGGCTCCACGATTTTCCACGGAGAAGGATGACATATCGAACGAACCTGACTCATCTCCCTATGACATCCGGCACCGCTTTGACAGTAGCTGGGTCCCCGGTGGCAGAATGGACAATGAGGGCTACTTTCACTTTACAACCAAGGCTGTGCGAGTGGCCAGCCACGCCCTGGGACTACGTGAGACGTCTCCATCTTCGAATCAGCGTCAAAAAACCCCGTCCGGGTTACTTGAGGCACTCGACGGGAGCCTTTGGGAGGCACAAATAAGTGAAGCCCTGCCGGATCAACGTGGCCCTTGCCACTCCAGCCAAGGCCGAGAACTGTTTGCAGCTGTGGTGGGCCTTGGCTTTGGTCAGGGCTATACCAGGCACGCGAAGGCTGTTTTACTGGAAGAACATACACCGGGAAGGTTCCATAGGCTTCCGATATTCTTCGAGTTGGCACAGGATACGTTGGAGGAATGGAGGGAAATTAATCTTAATATGGGGCCGGTTCGATAGGTCTAGCATGCCTGCATCAACTGACAAAATTATAGACTAAGGCACTATAGCCATCTAGGATAACATGTTATGAGAATATCACGGGTTACATACTTCTACAACAATGGTTTTGAATGAGCTGAAATAGTTCCATATAGAGTAGTAACCTAACAGACCTACTCAGACCGTCTCTGCTCAATGGCCAAAGTCATGCGCGCTGCCTTCTGCATGTCAACGGCATAATTAGATTAGCAAAGATCTGGACGTGACATAGAGCTATGTTTATTCTCCAGCAATTCACCCGGACTATTAAACCGGGCAATTCTGGCTAAATAGGACCTACACCAGTTCCTGCATTGGCTTGGCATTTTACCCTGGTCGCGCGGATGCAGGCTGAACGGGCCGTGTGGCCGTGACTGGCTCGCAACCAGTCAGAAAAATACCGAAAGACCCTTCGGATTAGATCATATTCATCTGCCGGATTATAGGGCTGCACGCGGATTTCTTCAGGTATCCGTGATTCTTCAGTATGCTCTCCGCATCGGTTAGGGAGATGTCTCAGCGCCACCGACCGATGGCTTGTTTAGCTCTCTCGGCGTCGGCGTATACTTGCAACTTTTAAGTGATAGTGGCAGCTGATATAATGCTGACGGATTCCCTATCCCAATACAGAACGGAGTATGGCTTCCTCTGGTAGCTTTCTTGGACACCGCGACGAAATTGAGCCATCTTTCGGGACCAAGAATTGGCGTTGGCAGTTAAAAGACGGCGCTGCTTCCGAGGACAACGCGGAGTGCATCTGTGAGCCAGGGAGAATGACATTATAAAGTCTGTCCGTTTTCCCGACTACCAGAAGAGTAGTCAGAGCATCACCACAAAAACCAAATTTTCTCTGGCTGCCGTTGAATTTCCCAGTGTCAGAATGCACTATACGTTGTCTCTTGCATTGGCGTTTCTGCCGTTCGGAATCCAAGCCCAGCAAACCCTTTGGGGACAATGTGGGGGTCAAGGGTATTCAGGAGCCACCAGTTGCGTGGCTGGTGCAACATGCTCAACTATAAATGAATGTAAGAGTTTCTTGCAGAAATCTTACTGTTCCACAGCTGAGTGACCATGACCATTAGACTATGCTCAGTGTACGCCAGCGACAGGCTCGGGCTCTGCCACTACCTTAAAGACAACTACTAGTACTGCCACTGCTGCAGTAACGACAACGACTGCTACTAGCAGCCCTGCCGCCTCTGCCTCACCGACTACCACGGCCAGCGCTAGTGGCAACCCATTCAGCGGATACCAGCTCTACGTGAACCCGTACTACTCATCGGAAGTCGCATCTTTGGCGATCCCATCGCTCACTGGTTCGCTTTCCTCGCTCCAGGCGGCGGCAACCGCCGCAGCCAAGGTACCTTCTTTCGTCTGGCTGTATGCTTCCTCATTCCACAATGTAATTGTATCAGACTCGGGTTGACACTTTCCAGGGATACTGCCGACAAAGTTCCTACCATGGCGGACTATCTGGCCGACATCAAATCTCAGAACTCTGCCGGAGCAAGCCCCCCTATCGCGGGTCAATTTGTGGTGTACGACCTCCCTGACCGCGACTGCGCCGCTCTCGCCAGTAACGGCGAGTATTCGATTGCGGACAACGGGGTTGAACACTATAAGGCCTACATTGATTCCATCCGCGAGGTTCTTGTGCAGTATTCGGATGTTCATACCCTTCTGGTTATTGGTGAGTGTCTTTCCACTAATTCGGACACTATCTACTGCATCTGAACGCTAAATATCACCTCCAACAGAGCCCGACAGCCTCGCCAACCTGGTGACAAACCTCAATGTGGCCAAATGTGCCAATGCTCAAAGTGCCTACCTTGAATGTACTAATTATGCGCTGACTCAACTCAATCTCCCCAACGTGGCCATGTATCTTGACGCCGGTAGGCTTCCTATCATCCCCCGTCCCCCCAATAGTCCCTCTTGAAAGGTTCTGACCAAGGATCCTGCAGGACACGCCGGTTGGCTCGGCTGGCCCGCAAATCAACAACCCGCCGCCGACCTGTTCGCAAGCGTCTACAAGAACGCCAGTTCTCCCGCCGCGGTGCGTGGCTTGGCCACGAATGTCGCCAACTACAATGCCTGGACCATTTCGTCCTGTCCCTCCTACACCCAGGGAAACAGCGTCTGCGATGAGCAACAGTATATCAATGCTATTGCCCCGTTGCTAGAGGCGCAGGGCTTCGACGCCCACTTTATCGTCGATACCGGTATGCGCAACCCCACACCCCGTCCTCCTCCGACCTAACTCTGGCTAACATGAATCACCAACTTCTAGGCCGCAACGGTAAACAGCCCACGGGCCAACAGGCCTGGGGTGATTGGTGCAATGTCATCAACACCGGGTTCGGCGTCCGCCCGACCACCAGCACCGGCGATGCGCTCGTCGACGCCTTTGTCTGGGTGAAGCCTGGAGGCGAGAGTGACGGCACCTCTGACAGCTCGGCTACTCGATACGACGCGCACTGCGGGTATAGCGATGCCTTGCAGCCGGCGCCTGAGGCGGGGACTTGGTTCCAGGTATGTTGCCCGATCAAAGTCGCTGGCCGGGAGTGGATTGATCGATCGGACTGACGTGGTTCTGTTTGTAGGCCTACTTCGTGCAGCTGCTCACAAACGCTAATCCAGCTTTTTAGAGGTGGGTGGCTTTTTGCATTGAATCAAGGTTCAGATAAATAAAATGAATGCATGAATGGGTATTTAGATATTGAACAAATGAAGAACAAGTATATGAATAGGAGGGGTAAAAAACAATGAATTTGCGATAAATAAAAAAAAAAAAAAAAAAAAAAAAAAAAACATTTCATAATATTTCACAAGATAAATTGGCAAGAATGAACACGTTCAAAAGAGATCGGCATCCATCGCTCTATTGCTGCCTGCTTCTCATCAAGATTGAGGATTCGGTTGACTAAAGTGCTTTCAGATAGTTGGAAAATGGATAATAGATGACTCAGGTAAAGACCGGAACAAGTGCAAGTGCTGTATTTTATTCATGCCTCTACTGAATCATATTGGTTTAAAGGCCGGGTTCTTGACAAGAGCATTCCATGGCCTACATCCAGTTAATAAGCTGAGATTATCCGCATAAGAAAAGTGGAAACGACGTCTCTGCACCCTTGACACCGCCAGCTAGACATCAATCCCACTGCCTGACCCACAACCATGACATAACATAAATTCTGCTTCATCGAACGTTCAGATCTCGACTTCGCAACTCTAAGGGATCCTCTCCTTCGGTAGTCTCTCGATGCTTCTTGCGTTGTTGGTGTAGAAGTGGTCTGTTTTCGCCCGCGGGCGAAATTGGACCGACAGACAGCGCTGATTCTTCTATGTGGCTTCCTTCTGCTTCGCAATATGGGTCATTCTCTTCTAGCTCCTCTTCCTCTGTTTCTGTTAGAACCGGAGTCTCCAACCCTGCCATATCCTCCCGGTCAAGATCCTCTTCGCTGACATCAGCTGCTCCGGCCAACGCGACTAGCCTATTCAGTACCCATTGCATCTCTAAGAGCTCGATGGATGGGAGGGGCCTTTTCTCAGGGTCGTCTGTTGTCCATGTCAGGATATCCCCAGACCTGATTAGTTCCAACGTTTCGCAGTTGATGAGGCGGGTATTGTTACTTGATGAGTCGGACTTGACTGGATTTGATGGAGGTATTCGAAGCTTTTGGGTACCATAGCTCCAGTCTCGGAGCCAATGAAATTCTACAGTCAGCATTCTCTTATCTTCGGATAATTCGAGTGGCTTGAAGGCCAGTTTTCCGGTTCCCCACATTCCATGGACAGTAGAAGCAAGGGATATGAGATTTTCCAAGATCTCGGTACGATCAGGTCCCAGAGTCACCGCCTCCCAAGCTTTGATTTTCTCGGGGGGCCAGAACATTCCTAATCTCTCCCAGAATTCATCGTATGCCACAAATCCAGCTTTCCGGCCAAGGGAAAATGGGTATATGTGGGCGGTCTCGATACAATCACCACCCCTAGTAACAAGGCAGCTTAGCTTGTCCCTTTTCTTACACTACTTGATGTAAGCTAGTTGCCGGAGAGCTTGATAATATATTGTGACGTACCTCATCTGCAGCCGAAACCGACCGTGAATAATCTTGGAATTTGGATGCTGAAGTAGCTGCTTGTGCCTTGGCGGGGCTTGTAGGTTTCGGCACATCCGAACGTTTCTGAGTTTGAGCCACATTGGTGGACACACGAGGAATTTTGGAGGCCATTGTTTCTGGAATGTCCAAAGAATCCGACTTTCGTTTCTTATGGTCTGTCCTAATAGGCGAATGCGTATTCCCTGGTAGAGTGCATATTAGAGTCATGACTTCTGGGCGGAGAAGTTGTGAACTCACAAACTTTTAGACATCTTGTCCACGACGTAGAGGTAGCAGAATCAGATCTCATGGGTCTTGGGTTCGCGAAGAAGACCTGAGTATACCCTTCCAACTGAGAGAGCTCGGACAGCCAGAGAAATGCCCAGAATCCTGGATTTACCGGTTCGGAGGCGAAGTCGATCGAATCTGAGATCTGTGCGATTAACTTCAGGCGCCGGGGGTCCTCAACCTCATCGTAAGCTCCCATTCTGAACAATCGAAGCAGGCAGAATGTAATAATTTGGTTATAGTGCCAGGCAATCGGCGTGTCTGTGGAGAACAGACGGTATTTCAACGAGACAGATGGGAGATGAAGCAGACTGGAAATGGATGGAGATAGATTGATGGTGTAGTAAAGAGTATAGTGGGGCCCAGAATTGTCAGAATTGTCAGGAACTAACTACCTAGCTTTGTGGCAGGTGACTCATAGTACAATCACTGACTAAGTTACACCGTAGAAGTGATGTAATGCAAGCTTGAATCATGTGACAAAAGACAGAATAACAAATTGTCCAGGTAAACCCGCCCCGCCCCGCGTCATCCTAGTCCCACCTGACCTGCTGGATTTGGCCCAGGGGCCAAAACAAAGGCAACTATGAAGCACTATCTTTCTGTTCTTGAGAAGAACGTTTGGATCCCTGTACTTCACTGCCATCCGCCTCCCGACGTCGCTTTCTACTGTGTGCAGTTTCCGGAGTAGTCATATTTTCGAGAAAGAAGTCTAGATTTGCCATGTCTGTGCATGGCGTTATTTGTCCCAGGCTTTCTGTGAGCTTCTGTGCCGCTGCCTCTTTGATCAACTCATCCTCACTTCCTTCCAGATTATTGATGACTCCCTTCAATTGGTGGTGTAAATCTGCAGCGATTTGTGGGAGGGCTTTCATCATGTTCCGGGACTCAACAAACATGTTGATGGATCGTTGCTGGGTTAGGATCCAGGCTTTTTGTTTTTGTTTCTGCCCGGTGCGGTGGGCCCTCCCCAATGCTTGTATGATGGCGTTCAGGTTCTTCCCTGGTTCCGCTACTATGATCCGGGAGCACTCCGTCTGGAGGTTCAGGCCCACCGCACCGGTCGCAAATGTCGTTAGTAAAACAGCCACACCTGTACCTGGAGAGGTGAAGTCAGCAATGACACGCGCATGTTCCTCTGGTGACATTGAAGCTTTTAATTTAACGACCGGGACGCACAAGGCATCCAGGAACATTTCAATCAGCCATAGGATCATCGGCCACTCGGAGAATATTATGAGTCTCGGAGGGGGTTTTCTGGTATTCAAAGCCCTAAAAACTCCTTCCCGTTCGAGAATCTGCGCTATAAACCGGAGCTTGACACAGCTATGACCAAGATAATAAGCAATACCGACTCTGGTTGAAGGGGGCAGGCAACCGGCATCTTGTTTGGTCTTCTGAAAAAACAAACCGAAACCTTTATCGTTCCATTGTGAATACTTAGCTATCTCCGTTGCCAAATCCCGCCCTCTGCGGACGCGTCGACGAAATATTTCAAGTCTTGGTGTGAAAGCAATATGAGCGAGCCTTCTCATCACTCCAAGGGTTAACGCTGATCGGCCCTCGGGTTGTAAATCGCTATTCTTGGGTGCTGTTCCAGCGATATCCCGGCTCGGGCCCCCGGGGCGGTTGCGCACTGCCGCGATTGTAACCACTCTGTTGAACACAACGTCGTGTTCTTTCTGAACACGCACTGGATGTCTGGTGTATACGGTTCTTGTTACCATCGGAGGAATGTCGTTCCCAACCACCGACCTTTTGCCCCCGGGCGATAACTCGAGCTCATCGCCCATATCTTTTGATAAACAGACCATGCCAAGAATTAACGGGAGCACCCAGAAACCTTGCTGGGCAGTCATATACCCTTTCCGTCCAAGAACAGCCAGCTTCTGTGGTTTGAGTAGATGAAAGGGTGGCGACTTCAGGGCTTTCGTTCCGTTCACGAGATCACGGTACTCACTTACGGGATCCTCGGCGTACCGCCGGGAGTTGTCTTCATCCTCTTCACTTGCTTCACTGTCCGTATCTGCGTTATCATCGGTGGAGTTTCTCGCTGTCTCCGGCTGTAGAAGTACAAGATAGCCGCATAGATCAATCGCTCTGTTCCACATAGGTGTGGCTGTCAGAAACCATTTGAATTTCACTTTCAAAAGCGCCAGTGATTGGTGGTTGCGACTTCGTATTGATTTGACGTGGTGCGCTTCGTCTGCAATAAATCGGTCAAAATATCCTGTCATACATGACTGATATGTCCTGGGCTTTTGCCGCACTTTCGAGCGACCCTCTGCTGCCGTTTGTAGCTCCTCCTGGAGATCGGCCAACTCATCAATGGCATCGTCATCATCGTCCTCCCCATCGGGAGAAACTGAACGGGATGCAGGCCGCTGTCGTTTTGCATCATTTTCCCCTTCACGCTGCTGTTGGCGTCCGCGTTGCTGGCCTTGGTCATCATTCTGGTCCAGTTCTGTAGTTGTGCGTAACGCCCATGTTCCATAGGACGTGATCACCAATGTGCGTGCTGTTTGGATGTCTTCTGGGTCTAGTCCTTCCAGTTTCTTGCGAAGATCACTAATCGTTTCAACGATATGGGCTTTACGCATTGGTCCCCTTTTCATTGTCTTGAAGCCGTGGAAGATGATCACATTGAAGACTCCGCCAAACCGGTTCCACACTTCGTCGGCCCACTGTCCCACTACACTAGCTGGACAACAGATCAATATTGGTCGGTACGACTTTTTGCCCGGGGGCAAAAGATTCGGGGCTAAGTATATGTGAGTCAGAGCAGTTACAGTTTTTCCAAGTCCGGGAGCGTGTGCGAGGATCCCTCCCCGCACCGCGGATGCCTCCTGGCTTTGCATCCAAGCTACCCCGGTAACCTGCCAGGGCTTTAACAGCGTCTTATCAGTATCAGCGAGATCTAGGCATGGCTCATTCGGGTCAAGACCAAGAGTATTCAAGGCCTCGATATACGTCGGATCCTGGGCCGAAGCCCGCCGTACGGTGAGCCGCGATAAGCGTGCTGCATCTTCTTCATCGACGCCGTCCTCGTCGTCTTCCTTTACCACATCATTCCCTGCATCCTTCCAACTATAGCGGGCCTCAGCGAAGGCTCCATACCTTTGTAGTTGATCATAAAAGCCGCCGTGCAAATCAGATTCTGGGACTGGATCGACATCGTTTTCGAGAAGAGTATCCAAATTTTGGAACAGTCTCTCTAATACCTGTTCGCGCTGCGCTGCTGTGATGGCAGGTCTTTGGACTTTGCCTTGATTCTCACTTTTTACTTCGAGAAGACTGAGGATCTGTTCTTCCAACTGTATATCCGCCTGTATATTTGCCATCGCAAGTTGTGTATGGTCCTCGTCCTCATCAGACTCATCCTCTACTTCATTGTCCATTGGTAGAAAGATCGGATGATGAAGTGGTGGAGAGTCCACGATATCCTTCGTGTCGGTTTGGATAGTGGTGCTGGTGGCTGACACAGAGACCGACATCCATCGCCCGCTTGTTGGCTGTCTATGAAATATTGGAGCAGTTGGTGCATTCTTATGAGGCCTCTTGGGGACACGCTTCCGGCTCACCATCCGGTGAAAATAAGCGAGGGCCTTCCAGGCGTGGAGTAGATCGTATGGGTCTAATGTATGAGGCTCGATGGAGATTCTAGATGACTGGAAGATATCAGGACGGAGTCTGATGAGTTCGCACGCGTGCCACAAAGTTGCCAGAGTGGCTAGCAATTTTGGGGCGACTCTCGGGGTTGATAGTGTCGGACAATCTGCGCCCATATATATGCGCCTGAGGTGATGATCTTCGCTCACATGAGCAATATCTGACTCCTTAACCTTGAGATCCTCATCTTTAATTATCTTTTCTGTGTCGCCAAATCGTGCGCTTCGGTAGCTGATGTATTCTTCAATCAGATCATGTGTGTCTCCTTCCTTCAAGTACCAATCCCACAACACACTGGTGTTTTCGAGGCCCAAGCAGCCAATTAGACCTTGGGCGTTTTCATCAAGCTTCTTGACAAAAGTGGCATCGTAATCAATGCCCGTAATCAGGCATGGAGCCGAGGGTGGGGCCATATTCTTTTTCGAAGTTAGCAAAGTCTACATACTATCCCATCAAGCACTTTGTTTGCCATCATGTAGAGCATTTCGCCCCGGGGCAAAATGCGAAGTCAATTGATTTTGCCCTCGGGCGTAATGGTGCCAGACATAATCATCCATCATTTTCATCTTACTTGTTCAGGGGTCTCAAGAATGTAATCCAGGTTTGACTTACTTCAAAGGTCAATGGACAGGTGACATAAGTGATGAATGTATGTTTTAGAACACACTAGAGTGCAGTGTCTGTTAATGCACCAGATAGTAGCCGCAGTTCGGACAGCTGGATGATAGGATAGATTTGGTTCAGGGAGAAAATGATGGATGAGCTCAACTATTGAAGATGGTTACCTCTTGAGGTAAAGGACTCTCTGTGATAGGAGAATGTAAGAGAAGAATCTGTGTGCTTTAATGGAGGTCTGTATGGATGGTATGGTTCAAAATATATGTTGTTGCCAATCTCTTTAGATTGCCAGTCATCCAAGGAAGAAAAGGGGAGAGCTGTGTTAGAGGGGGAAGAAGAGAAACAGGAGAAAGAAGAGACAAGAGGAGGTATTTATTGAATAGGATTAACACAGAAGAATAAACACCTGGAGAAAGAAGTAAGGAAGGAAGAGGAAGGAAGGGGAGGGCAGATATTTATATTAGAGAATAAGGCAGAGATCTAGACACCTGAAAAGGAAGTGAGAGTAGAAGTGAGAGTAGAAGTGAGAGCAGAAGTGAGAGCAGAACTGAGAGCAGAAATGAGAATAGAAGTGAGAGTAGAAGTAAAAGCTAGTATAAGAATTATAATAGAAATTATATTAAGGACTACAGTGAGGGCTACAGTGAGGACTACAGTGAGAGCTACAGTGAGGACTATAGTAAGGACTATA